ACTGATCGAAACAGTCAACATGTACAGCCAAATTATATCAATCCATTAAATCAAAGACTTCTTTCAAGTAAAATGCACAATTTATGTGTATCGATGGAGTTATGCAGATCTGTTCTTTCTCTTTCCAAATAATTTGAGTAAGATAGGGTTTTTTGAAAATTTTTTTTTGAGTTTTGCGAATCCTAATTTTGTGAATTCTTGTAACAGCTCATTGGTCTAAATCCTTCGTACATTAAAAATCAATCCTAAGTAGCTTGAGCAAAATCTTTGAGAGATTCAAATACGCTCGACTTTTTTGTGAAAACATAGTGTTCTGTGTTCTGCATTAAGGATAACGACAAAAATTTGCAACTATAGACGCTGTAGCTGAAATGAAAAACAATCAAAGATATAGTGTATCTCTTTCATTACAGCAACAGATGCTTTTTACTGACGTTTTTCTGGTATTTAGGGCAACAAAAAGGTTGTTTTTTGTCTATAGAAGAATTATTGGTCTATGCGATTGTTCCGGCCTCAAATGAATTCTAAAAAACGATCAGAGCAAAAGATCACTTAACGAGCACTTAACAAGTATTGCAGTAAATACGGAAAAGCACTCAATGTATCTACTTTTTTAGCGTATTTTTCATGACGTTTAAGAATTTATAAAAAAAATTTGAAAGCTAAGCCTTCTACAGGAATTGACGGAGAAAATAACTTGTGTTTGATTGAGAACGTATACATAATGGCTCCCTATCTTGCTTATTTGATAAACCTCTCGTTTGAATCGGGAAAGTTTCCTATGCTCCCGAATTCATAAATCTGGTGGCAAGTTTGACATGACTAATTTTAGACCTATATTACTTCTAAGTAGCTTTAGGAAAGTCTTTGAGAGAGCAATGTGCGCTCGATTTTTTGCGTAATTTGAAAACTTGTATTTGTTTTGTGTCGGTCAATATGGATTTTGACAAAACTTCGCAGCCATAGCACTGCACTGTAGTTGAAATGAAAGAAGCTAAACTTTAAAACAATAAAATTTGTAGTGTAGCTATTTCATTACAGCAAGAGACACTTGTTACTGATGATTTTTTGCATTGAAGTCAACAAACAGATTTTTAAAGGAGCGTGAGGTTTTTCTCAGATTCAAGTGAAAGTTTTATCAAAAACGCAAGTTAGGGAGCCACTGTATCCTTTTCTTATAAAAAACCAATTACTTAACCCGCCAATTCCTGTAGACTGATAAGCTTTCAAGCTAATTTTGATCTCTAAAACTTCATGAAAAGTACATCAAAAAGTAGATACATTAAGTGCTCCACGGTAATAATTGATATGCTTGTTTCAGTGCTCGGTATCCATCTGGTGCTTTGATCGTATCATATAGTTTATTATTCAGGCCGGAATAATCCCAACTTTTTATTAATAGACAAAAAACAACCTTTTTTCTTGCCTTAAAATAAAAAAAACCTTAGTAATAAATGTCTCATGCTTTTATGAAATAGCTACATGGTATATCTTTAACTGTATTAGTACTTAGTTTGTCTTTCATTTCAGTTAAAGCATCTATGCTTGCGAATTTTTGTGGAAATCATAATTGCTTATAATAAATCCTTGTCAATTGTTAAAAAATGTTAAGATCGAGCGTACATTGTTCTCTCGAAGACTTTGCTTCAGCTGGCTGCTTAGAAGTGTGATAAGTCTCATTATACCTTGTTATTCCTAAAGTTTCGAGGACTTAGTAAGTTTTGAAGAGAAGAGTTTCTAATCTGTTTTCAATATTCTTGATAATTATTATACACCTGAACCCTATTGTAAGTTCTTTGGTGCCATTATAGATGCCAACAGGAAATTTTTTCAACACATACAGACGATAAAACCTAAATTAGGAAACATTGCGGTATGATTTCAAAAAAGATTTACTATATACCAACTTCGATCTTGCCCAATTACTGTCAGTCGAGTTCAAAGCCAAAAATACAAAATTAAGCACAAAAATTGTTTGCATGATTCAATTCAAAAAGAAATACGATTCAATTTCCCAATCTTTTCTTTACCATTCAAAAACAAGGCATGAATTATTTGGTTTTTAGTTTTAGGTCGTTGAATCAAAAACTTTCCACAAAATTTCTGAACTTTCTGTTCTATAAAATTGATTTCAAAAAAGATTTACTATATACCAACTTCGATCTTGCCCAATTACTGTCAGTCGAGTTCAAAGCCAAAAATATTAAATTAAGCACAAAAATTGTTTGCATGATTCATTTGAAAAAGAAATACGATTCAATTTCCCAATCTTTTCTTTAACATTCAAAAACAAGGCATGAATTATTTGGTTTTTTGTTTTAGGTTGTTGAATCAAAGACTTTCCACAAAATTTCTGATTTTTCTGTTCTATAAAATTGATTTCAAAAAAGATTAATCATATACCAACTTCGATCTTGCCCAATTACTGTCAGTCGAGTTCAAAGCCAAAAATATAAAATTAAGCACAAAAATTGTTTGCATGATTCATTTCAAAAAGAAATACGGTTCAATTTCCCAATCTTTTCTTTAACATTCAAAAACAAGGCATGAATTATTTGGTTTTTTGTTTTAGGTTGTTGAATCAAAGACTTTCCACAAAATTTCTGAACTTTCTGTTCTATAAAAAGTTTTGCAAATAAAACAAGAATTTAAAATTTTACAACATTCGTTCCCACTTTCTGTGAAAATAAAACGAAAACTTGTTCGTTTACTAACAGAGGATCGAATTTACTCAAAATGATGAACGCAAATGGTCTGTTGCCGGGAAAAAAAGTCCGTAACTGAAAAAAAATCGTTTAGTTCATAGATTCAAAAATAATGTTATGCTCGGAAATAATAAAGTGGTGTAGCACAAATTTTAGTAGATATTCAATTTTTTAAAAGATTTTTATCCAGCGTTTAAATGCTTACAGAGAATCAATTTGGGTTTGCGAATCTATCCTGAATAAATGAACCTCTAACTCCAAGTAGTGAAAAATAAGCGCGTTTTTTCAAAAATTACGAAAACCTAAGAATAATTTTATATTGAAAAAAAAATTTTGCGCAATTTTTTTTTGCTGGATTATCATTTATTGAAAAAATGTACTCGTCTAACCACAAATTGCTCCTTTATTTCTTCTCTCTTCCAGTTTTTATAATAATTAGCATTTCAAGAAACAGTTGCAATAAATTGATTTTTGCTGGAGTTGCTCCTTTTTGTCTATTCATTAATTATTGAGGTTATTGAAAATATTATTCTCGAGAAAGCTTGACCTGAGCGGATGCTGCTGAATCTCGCTAAACCTCCAAAATAATGAAAAACCGCAACAAAATAATGAAAAACCGTTGTTTTCTCTTATTAACTGTAATGAAATTTATTTGAATAGCAAGTAGACCTTAAGTTGGTGCACGTTGCGCTTTTCGTCTATCCTTTCCATTTTTATGTACTGAATTGAATAGTTCGATATCAATTGTTTGTAACTAATTGAAAATCAATCGATGATTGTAGTTGGTTTCTACATGATTTTGGATGAATAAAGTCTTCTAATTCATAACGTACACGCCGTTCGTTGTCTTTAATTTTCGTGGAAAAATTACGTTGGATTTTAAAGATAGTAACTTATTAGTAGTGATAGTCATTGATCCGATTTTGTTTAGAATTTGGATTGATTTGGTTTTAATGTTGCGATTACTTAATTAATTGTACATTTCGGGATTGAGAATTTTATAAGAAGTTAACTATTATAAGGCATGTTTTGATTTCACTTTTCATGAAATTGGAAATAACCAAAGAAATCACTTGGTATTTAGAAGAATCGCTGAACATGGTTCAGACTCCTATATAGGTCGTGAAGATTTTTTTAAATTCAGGCTGAAATTTACTTCTCTCTTCCAGTTTTTATAATAATTAGCATTTCAAGAAACAATTGCAATAAATTGATTTTTACTGGAGTTGCTCCTTTTTGTCTATTCATTAATTATTGAGGTTATTGAAACATCGATTGTTATTATCGAAAAACGCTTGACCTGAGCGGATGCTGCTGAATTTCGCTAAATCTCCAAAATAATGAAAACCGCAACAAAAAAATTCAAATTTCATTTTAGTTGTTTTCTCTTATTAACTGTAATGAAATTTATTTGAATAGCAGGTAGACCTTAAGTTGGCAAACGTTGCGCTTTTCGTCTATCCTTTCCAGTTTTATGTACTGAATTGAATAGTTCGATATCAATTGTTTGTAACTAATTGAAAATCAATCGATGATTGTAGTTGGTTTCTACATGATTTTGGATGAATAAAGTCATCTAATTTATATCGTACACGCCGTTCGTTGTCTTTAATTTTCGTGAAAAAATTACGTTGGATTTTGAAGATAGTAACTTATTAGTAGTGCTAGTCATCGATCCGATTTTGTTTAGAATTTGGATTGATTTGGTTTTAATGTTGCGATTACTTAATTAATTTTTGTAGATTTCGGGATTGAGAAATTTATAAGAAGTTAACTATTATAGGCTTGTTTTGATTTCACTTTTCATGAAATTGGAAATAACCAAAGAAATCACATGGTATTTAGAAGAATCGCTGAACGTAGTTCAGACTCCTATATAGGTCGTGATGATTTTTTTTTTCAGGCTGAAATTTACTTTTTCGCGGTTTGATTTTGGTTTCTTTTTAAGTTCAGCTCATTTCCTTTTTTTACCTTTGAACAGCAAAATTGTAAAGGTAAAAGACATCATCAACTTTTAGTTTCAAAAGTAGAATTTAATTTTTAGATTTCCCAGCGAAATAAAAGTTTTAGTTTTTGATCCAGTTATCTAAAATTGGGATAATTTTATTGAAAAACTGTCAATCATAGTTTTTTTTGAAATTCCAAGAGCTTTTAGGGCATCTAGTTTTTTTTCATTGAAGTTCGAAAGTTGAGGCTTTTTCTAAAAAGTCATAATTTTTTTGTTTGTAATTTGAAAGAACGTATGAAGTTGGCGATTGGTGTTGATGAGGGACGAGGCGTGGTGTTTTTATTTAGGTGCCGAACTATCGTCTCATCACTCCTTCTGTGGTGTCTGAGAGGATGAAGGTGAGAACGACTCTGGCGAAAAAAGCCCTCACAGAGCTGGAGAAGCACGGGCATATCAAGTTGGTGTTCAAACACAACGCACAGAGAGTCTACACTAGAAATACTAAGGCTGCTCCAGCTGCAACTGTTGAAGCCTAGTTCCCAGACACCCCTTCAGCACAAGGATTAAATGGATTTCGATTGAAACTTACGCCAACATTGTGCTAGTTTTCATCGATGTTGCAATTCAAGTGTTGAATTAAATTCTTTTTACGAAAGCGACAGCGTAGTCAATCGTGTGACTTTCAAACCAGTTGTATGGTGAAAGTTTTTTTCCTGCAAAATTTAGACCGAATATTTTCTGCAAAGTAACAAAAAAAGAATTGATCCGTCGGCCAAATTGTCACAACTGAGTGATATTGTTTAAATGTGTCAAATAAGAACATGCCTTGAAAGAGTTTAGATACCCTCACAAAGGTGAAATTTGGATTCAAGAAAAGGTTGAGGAAAGCTCCCCTCTATAAGCGGCTACGTCCAAGTTTTCTTACAAAATGTTTCTGGTCCCCAGAAAAGTCAACGTTTTGATTTCCTGTGTTTTTTTTACACTTGCGAAGCGAGTGTATTAGTGCGAACCTTTTTCCTCAACCTAAGTAATATTGGTGCCACTTTTGGGGCACTTTTACAGCTTTTGGATAGCATGTGCTTTGGCAGTCGAATAATAAAAAGTTAACACAGTTGATGCATTTTTAATTCGTCAAATGAATTGAAAAAGTGATTTGTTTCAAAAAACATAACAATAATGAAAACTCGATTTCAGAAATTTTTCAAGTCAATTTATCTCGCATTTTTTTGAAATTCATAATTTATACATAATGTGGCTTTATGCTTTGAAATTTTTCACATGAAAAGTTAGTGTGGATGCCTTCAGTTAGTTATAATCCAAATTACTTGCAAAATTGAGTCTATTTGTATTTGGTGTCACTTTCGCTGAATTACCTTGGCAATTTTTTAGCATATGTAGCTGTTTTTTTTTAGTGACTAGTGTTTGTCGGTTGTTAAGCTTGCGTAGCTGAGTGGATAGTGCGTGAGACTAAAAATCTCGATTACAGTCGGTCGTAGATTCGAAAACTACCCAGTTAAGTCAAAAACTACCCAGCCAAGTCTGATATCAAGGTTTTAATAGAGGCAAGAGGTTGTGGGAAGCTTCCCTGCATAAAAGGCTGCACCTTGACTTTTGTACGAAATTTTTTTTATGGTATTCTAAATTGTCAAAAAACTTCTTTCTTAGTTATTTTGTTAGAGAAACAACTAAGGTTTTGAGTGAGCCCCAGATTTTGAAATAACTCATTTCATCATGAATCCATACAAAAAAAAATCAAAAAATTTTGAACAGGTACCTCTAGCTGTAGATGAGACCTTAGTTCAAAATTCCAGAGCAGTTAACGCTAATCGATTATGAACACGATCTAAGGTTTTCAAATTTTCAGGAGCTTCAATGCTGTATAGTATCGTTTTGAAAGATTCGGACCGGATATCATCGAATCATTGAACTTGAAAGTTTTAGGGCTAATAGTAATTTTTTGAAGACAAAATAGATCGATTCAATTCAAGTTTTGAAGATAGCGTTGGAATCCTTCAAATTTATATCCCAAATATTAGGAAAAAATAGCTATTGAAAAGACTCACAGGAAGCTGAACGCTGCGATGCACGACATTCGGTAGGGACACCATGTTGCTTTTTAAAATTTCTGTCCAAGTGTCTACTGCATGTTAAATTGTCCGTTTTGTAGTCAACAACCGACATTTAAAACTCGTCTAATGACCTAAGTTTTATTGGCAGATAGTATCAGACTAGTCCCGTCATGAATAGTTTTCCGGTTAATTGTCGAAGTTTTAAATTACTTTTTCTATTTGCGCAATGTTTTGTACAGCAAGCAGGAACTCTACAGCAAGAGTGTTTTTGTTTGAGGAAAAAAAGTGTCCGTTAGCTAAATCGTTCGTTAAAACCCATCGACTTAACTAAATAAAATTTAATTGAAATAAGCGTTTTTGCAAAGATTAGATGCTATAACAGCAATCAAAAATATTTGAAACGAGCACAGGGCTTGGTAGAGAGGTTTCAGTGTTGGCATATAATTTTTGAAATGCTGTAATTTTTAGGCGGATTCCTTCAGAAATAGTTAAAATAAAGCGAAAACTTTGATTGGTTGCGTTCATTCATTTCTCAGAAAAAAACTTGAAATATTATTGTTCCGACCATTGAAACTGGGGAGAAACTTTTAATTCGGGTAGGTTATAGTTTTTTCTTCGTTTTCCACGCAAAATCAGGTATCGCAAATAATCATCGATCTGGGTTGAGTGATATATCATATTGGAGCCCTTTCAGTCGTAATTCGAACCACATTATTAAAAATTTTCCAAAAACTTTTCTTGTGTCGAGGAAAACCGGATTAAAATTTTTGATTTTTCGTCTAAATTCGAGCGAATAAAGCATAAAGCAAGCAAGCAGGCTTACAACAGCTAAATAATGCCTAATTTCGGACCTTAAAATTAAATTTTAACAAGTAAAACTAGTTTTTGCAGTTTTTTAGCTTCATTTTAGGAGCCAAAAACTTCAAAAAATTCAAAAGTTTTATGCAAAAAATTTTGAAAAATGTTTAATTTTTTGAATTTTTTTTTTGTAACTTTACAAACATTTCTGTCCAATTTGCCTATCTTACTATGATTGTCTGATATGCCTAAATTAGGTTTTACGCCAGATCCTTTCATCACACAAGCAGAATAAACTTGGCCTTTTTTTCGTTTTATTTTCCACGCAAAATCAGGTGCCAAAAAGAATAATCGGACTGGGTTGAGTGATGTATCATATCAAAGACCTTTCAGTCGTGATTCGAATCACATTAAAAAATTTCCGAGTTTTTTTCTAGTGCCGAGAACAACCGGTTTGAATTTTTTGATTTTTGTCTTAATTCGAGCGAATAAAGCAAGCGAGGCTTACAACAGCTGAATTATGCCTAATTTAAGACCTTATAACTTAATTTTAAGAATTTTAAGCAAGTAAAACTAGCTTCTTTTTGAGAACCGAAAACGTCAAAAAGTTCAAACAAAAAACAACATGCTATCCTTGTTTTTAAATTGGGCCTGACAATAAGCTACCGTACGTTTTTGCCTCCAATTAGAAAGAGTTCTGCCAGAATGAAACGTTGGTATCACTTCGAGATAATCGCGTAATGTTTTCTCTGAAATGAGCCTTTGGGTTGTATTAAAACCCCCTTGCGCTAGGCTTTATTTCAAGGGAAGATTGTTTTGAACGGCAAAATGTGCTCTTAAAAAGAGCGTGGATCGATAAAAATCGATGTTTTGCTGGCAAAAATATCTGGAGATCTTTCACATATATTTTACTGCTTATTTACTTGCGTTTGATTCAGAAATTTGCTTCAGCGCAAATTTAGGAGTTGCATGGAACAAAAGATTGAATTTAATAAGGCAATTAGCTGAAATCAGCTAAATTCAAAAGTGACAACTTGGTTTTGTTGTTAACAGCAGACGGTGCTCATTTGAGGAAGCATTTTCGAGCCCAAATTAATAAACCGATAATTTTGACCCTCCAACAAGTGATAACAGCTTCGGAAACAATAAAATGACTGGGAAACATCTTTTAGAAACAACTCTTAAAACTAACTGCGGTATCCCGTGACAGTGCGAGTAGGCTGACAGAAGCTTCGGGATTAAAATGACCGGAAAACGTAATAAAGCGAAGGTTTTAAGCCTTGTTAAAATTATAAGGATAGGCATTTGCTGCGCAAGAAGCACCTAATAATCCAACCAGAACGATTAAAATAAAGAAATTCAAAAAACAAACAAGACTGCTCGTATGAGGGCGAAGCCCTGAATGTTCCGACTGCCTTTTAAGGTTTATGGAGCAGTAATAACTTTAAAAAAATTAAGTGTAATAAAACAAAATGAAATTTTTTTCTATAATTTGAAACTTCTTATGAAAGTCATCACCCCACACGCCGTACAAAGTACAAAAGAATAGATATTGCTTCTTGTAACAAATCAATTATGGCAAATAAGCTTCATTCAACCAAATTGGAACAATTTCTAACATGGATTAATTTTTCGCTTACGCGTTAATAGCGCGAAATATGAAATATATCGCACGTTAATTGTCCCAAATTGGCCAAAATGGCAATCTTTAAAACCCCATAATTTTACAAAAAACGATCACAGGTGAAATAACTTTTGAAGTTTAAGCGCAGGACAACAATTGCTTTTGAAAGATATAAACAAATTCCGTCAAAAATGGTTAGTTAAAAAGTCGAAATTTGTCTGAAGAAAAAAAAACCCACCCCGAGCACAAGTATTCCGTTACTTTCGTATCGAAAGTCGGAACAACAATTCAGGGGAAACTGAAAAAAAAATCTAACTATCTGTTTTTTAAAGGGCTCTTAAAATAGGACGTAAAATCTGCAAAAGTGATACAAAAATGCCGAATGAATGAGGTGACAGTTCAATCTCATCGTAATTTTTGGAATTGTCGAGTTGTTTAGTTTAAAATCCGCAAAAATTCAGCCCAGTTTTTCTCGACATTGAGACAAATTTTTTTAATAGTTTTTTTTCTGGAAGCCAAATTACGACTCAGAGATTTGCCTCTCTGCGAGCTTTCTTTGGATTCATAAAAGTTGAACGCAAAACGTACCTAGCACATAGCTCCTTCCTACTTTGCTAAGCAGTCGAGACATCAACATAAAAAGTCTGATTGGAAGGAACAACCTTTCGCGGTGGATAAATTGCATCACTCCATGGCAGTTTTTTTTGAATGTTTCTATCTTTGTTATTTTTGTGATAATGATTTTGATAATTTTTGTTAGGAAAATTATCCGCGTCCCGGCAATTCGGCCATAGACAATTCAGCCGGTCTGAAGTTCAGACAATTCTGACAAAAGTATGCTGACAATTCAGCCAGAGAAAATTTAGCCAGTAATAGAGACCGCCGCACTCGCGCCAACGTGTTGCAAGCTTGCCAACAGAGGATAGGACTCTATATGGAATTTAGAGTCGGTTATCGCCCACCGGCGACCTTAAACCGAGAAATAACTCCGATTCAGATTTTTCATTCGAACATAGCGTTTTGTAAAATTGGCTGAACTGTATCAGACTGAATTGTTTGAATACTTTTGACTGAATTGCCTGAATTTCAAATTGGCTGAATTGTCTTTGGCCGAATTGTCTTTGGCCGAATTGTCTGTGCGCCTTATGAA